AGAAGGTTGGTCGTGATTCATTTTTACACAATTCCAATCTTTGGGCAGTATGCTCGTCGAGTTCCCTGCTTTGTGCCATTGTTGCGTTTTGAATTTGTATTTTATAGAATGCGGTGATGAAAACTTGTGTCCATACAGTTCGCTTATTAATCGAGGCATTCAGCAATTAATACTTCACAGTTAAGCCATCGGACAAGATTTATTTTTGATGAAACTTTTCAGATTCTCATCCCGAACTTCCGACATCCGCGTTTCAATTTCGTCGGTAAGATTCTCGGTCCGAAAGGCGCTTCTCTGCAAGCTATGGCCAAACAGTTCAAATGTCATATTTACGTGTTGGGTCGTGGATCGACAAAGGATCGTGCAAAGGTAAATAGTCATTGAGTTAGTGCTGCAGTCAGTAATTGAATACGAACAGGTTGTATGAAAGTTAATAAAGCTTGCTAGATAACCTTATAGTTAACGTGTCTGCGACGGCAGCCTTGGTAGACAATCTCATGCACACGAGCCATAAGCTAAGATTAACTCCTGCTGTTGGATAAAACTCATCGCGGGCTTGGTCTGAGGCTCACCACCTCTTGTTTTCGTAGGAAAGCTACACTCCAGGACTGAGACTCAGTAAGACTTCATTCATGTTAAAGCTGGTAGTACCGACCTTCGATAAAAACGTTAGCTGTAAAATTACCGCATACGTATAATAGATGAGCCATACGGAGTTCCAGAGTAACTGATTGAGTGGTTTCATGAAATTTGCGAAATAATTCACGTTTTCTGCTGCGATTCAGGAGCAAGAGCTACTCGCAAGTGGTGATCCACAATACGCACATTATGGTGGCCCATTGCACGTGAAAGTTGAGACAATTGCACCGGCGCATACTGCTTATCAACGAATCGCTGGAGTGTTGGAAACACTTTCACAAATTCTTCAACCGGTTCATATTTTATAGTCAATTCCTCGAAAATTCTCCGCAAAAATTTTGATTTGTCCTGTTGGTTAATTACGCATTTTCTGATTATTTCGAATCACAATTGGATGAGATTTTACTAACCGATTTGATAATAAGAGTTCACGTGCTGCAGTCATTGCAGACTCGTGATGAATCATATCCGGGTGGTGGTCAAGTTGGTGGTAACACAAGTGACCAAGGCGGAGGTCTGTTCCTTTTTTCCTTTTATTGTTCAGATTGCACATTTATTTAGTGTTTCATGATTGGAACATTCAGAAGAAGTTTTAAAAATATTTTTCTCTCATTAAACATCGCAAAAATATGAGGAGATGATGATGTGTATGTGTTTCCGAAAGTG